CTTTCCGACCGAATGATACTTTATCGAAGCCCTTTTCGCGCGATCGAAACTTTTCATACTGGCTTCCCTGAGCCGCTTGCGTGACCGACGAACGCCGAGCTAGAGTTATCCAGACCAGACACACAAATGGTTTCTACTAGCCGCTTCACCGGTGGAATTATGCGTCGACCAGTGCCGTACTCCTGGTAATTCCACCGACGGTGGCTTGTCCCTTCGCTTTCACAGCCGGTTCCACCGTTGTTTCAACGCGGTCAAAATTCGAACAAAGTACGGACAGAGGGGCTTTAATTTTTCACGACGTCCTAGAAATTCACGGGGAGACCGTCTGAACGAAACCTGTGCTTCAATAGGGTTCACGGCAGAGCCAGAAGAACGAAAGAGAGTATATAGATGGAAATTTCGTTCTAGGACGATAAAATTGTTGCAATTTTAATCATCGTCGGCCATCGTGTTTAATTATCGAGCTGAATGAAATTGAATTACAGTTAAAACATAGTCGGCCGGTTATTAATATTTGCGTTTCATTCCAGCCGGATTACCGAAACGTCGATTCTTGACCGATCCTCGAAAATCGACGCTTCTCGATCGATAAAAATTCTTCGAGCTTCGACCGCTTCCAATTGAATTTCACGTTTGCCCCCCCCGTCCTTCTTCGGATAATTCAATCCGCGAGCGTGTTTTAATTTAGCCACACAGGCCGACACCACCGTCTGCCCTTATTATGGTTGCCCGGGGCCACTTTGTTTCTCGCGGGATCACGCGTGGCCGATGTTGCGCAACGCAATTACAACGTCACGTGCCGATTACACGATCAGTAATGGAAAGTTTCGTAATTGCAGGGAGCACGATGATTAATACGTTCACGCTGGAAATCATAGTAATTTCGGTCTTGGAGCGGCCACCGGGGCCACCGGCTTCGTGGAATGTTTCACTGGTCGCGGCACAATGACGCCTTTATCGCGTTAAAATTAGAAGTGGCCACCTCTGTCCCACCTTTGCCGTTCCAATTTCCTCTCCGTTCCCTCTTCCCATCTTTTTCCGCCGCGCCGTTACTCGTATTGTTCCACCGGCTCGCTGTGAATTTTTAATTCGCACGAAACGGCGCTATGGAATCGAAAAGCGACGAAGAAACTGATTCGTATCGATGTTTCGTGTTAATACTCCGCGTGGGAATTAACGCGCGATGGATAGAAGAAAATTGATGGAAAAAAGAAGAAGAACGACAAAATTGGGCGTCGAAAGTGTTAGGAAAAAGTTCGATGTTCTAGTGGAAACACTGCTGCACCGTAGAAATTAACTCCCAATGTTAAAGTGCAGATTTATCGCTTTTAGATTGCTCGCGCTAAGTTAAGACGCGACTAGGCAAAGATAAAAGATTAAGGCGAAAGTGTGCGAAGAGCGAAATATATTTGAAACGCCTATAGGCGCCAAGGCCATGGCGCGAGAATATATTCGAACCGCCTATAGGCGCTCCAAGCACGCAGCGCGAGCAAAGTTTTTAAATCTCCGAATAAAAAATCTTAGCGACCGTCGTCAAATACCGAAAGAATTTCCCATAATACTCCCTCCTCGTCGCAAAACACATTAAAAAAAAAATTGATAAGACAAAGAGAGGGAGCGTGGTTCAGGTCGAAAATTTCGTTTCTTCTCGAGAAACGAGTAGAGGAACGAAGTTTTCCGTCGACGAGCGACGATTCAACGAACCGTTTCGATAATTCGATCCAACGTGCGGAGGCCTTTTTTAAAAAATACCCGTGGTCGTGTTCCAGCCACCTCCCCCGGTTTCTCGTCCCCGTGAGGGTTGTCTCCACTTCAATGCCTACTTCCTGGTCGCGCTTCAAAAGTCCCCGGGACCTCGAGCTCCCATTTATAGAATCGACTTTTCTCCACGCAAGAACCTCTACGCACGTATCGTGTCTTCGGGGACCCGTCGTCTGTTTCAGATCTGGTGCCCTCGATTTCATTTCCTTCGCCTCCCCTCTTCCTATTTCCCCCTTCTGATTCCCTCTGGGTCGTAGAATTCGCGAGATTTATCGGCCGCCCTCGTCCCGTTTCAGTCAGAAAAAGGGAACTAATTGACGCAGCTGCGCTGCGTTTCGCGTATTTACGAGGCAGAAACGGAAGTGTGCAGGTGTTGAGAAGCTTTCCGGAGGACTGTCTGTTCTCTGCACCGGTTACGAGTACGTACTCTCGGAGGACAGGTTTATCATTTCGCGCCGGAGTGAAAGGTTTGCGAGTTTGATTGCTTTCGGGAATTTATCGCGCTACGTGCGAACCTAGGAGAGGGATATGTACTGTCTCTTGGATGAAAAGATCGTCGAACGCGCTTGTTTCGCGGTGTTCCTTTTACCAAGCTCGACTGTTTGCCTTCGATCAACTCCGTGGCACGTTTATCATTGCTATCGTTCGGCGAATCTTGAACCTCGTTTGAAATTTTGAAGGATCTTGATTGCAAATCTGACTTGTTCCTTTTACCTTTCTTTCCCGTAGATCGTGGAAAGAGGGAGAGATTGTTTTTTACAGGATGACGTGTTGTAGATTATGTTGGATTGTTTAGAAAATTGTGCGGGTTTTTCGGGATTAATTTGACAAAGGTTGCACGCCAACCGCCTATCTCTTGAACTTTTCAAACGAAGATGGGAAAGATATGGACGAGCACCATTAATTCCGCTCTCTAATTGCATCGATCAGCCGCAGGATCGCGGTGCAACGTCATACGGTAATATTGCTCCTGGAACGGCGCATTCCCCCGTTCATACATCATTACTTCCCACAAATAATTCACCAAGATAATTCGCCTCATAATAAATATCCGATGCTAATTAAGCCCGTAATCCAGCGGCGGCCGATGCATAATTCAATTATCCTAATTAATGTTCGATTGCGATTAACAATCCAATTAAAGGTATAGAATCCACTGACAAATAATTTCGTCTGTTCCCGCTAATGCATCCCATAGACCGTCAGTCTAAACGCGAATATTAGCCGATCACATACCGTTTCATCCTCGCCATCCAACAAATCGTACGATATTATGTCCCCGTAACTGCAAGGAAAATTCAATTATTCAGGCTACTTAACGATATTTCAGGAAAAGATTCTTAATCTGAGATACAATTAGGTAAAAGTCATTTCAACGATTATCTCTCTACTCTGCATAGAATATAATGTTAACCATGAACACCTAACGACGACAAAGAAAATTCTCTTCGTTTAAATAGCTTTCTCATTTAGGAAACACCTAAGTTAAAAGAAATTTTCCCGATTTAAACAGATTTCTCACTTAAAAAACACCTAAGTTAAAGAAGATTCTCTTTGTGTAAGTAGGTTTCTCATTTAAGAAACACCTAACGATGTTAAAAGAAATTTTCTACGCGTTCATCATAATCGACTCTTTCCAAGATATTTCAAATTTTAATCTTCAATGACTCACCGCTATCAATCGATGAATGAAAAAGGTTGCGTTATCCTGCTAAAATATTCTCAAATTATTACCATAAATGACTCACCGCTGTACTCGGAAAAAAATAAAAAAGGACGCATTATCCTGCTTAATCCCAAAATATTCTCATCATAAATAACTCACCCTGTATACTCAGAAAAATATAAAAAAGGACGCGTTATCCTGCTTAACCCGAAAATATCCTCAAATTCTTACCATAAATGACACCCCAATACTCAGGAAAAGAAATAAAAAAGGAGGCATTATCCCGCTTAACCTGAAAATATTCTCAAACACTCAACCCCAAGAAAATAAAATCGTCCAAAGCACACACGCAACAATGTCGAAAAGAAGAAAAGGAAAAAAAATATTTCTCTGCTTAAAAAGAACACGTTGCCACGTGTCTCGTTACTATATTACGTTCGATATACTAATAGCGCGATCCTGAAGGTGCACGTTCGAACGCGGCTCCCCAGGGAGGGGGCTCGAGATGCAAAGGTACAGACAGACAGGGCGCGATGTTACGTCCTGGACGAACACACGGGCCACGTTTTTCGTGGTCCGCCACCCTAATTCGCCGTTTGCGACACGTACGGGGGCATATAGGGCCCCGTGAGGATATACTGCACCGCCACCACCATCAGCTGCGGGGCGCTCCACCTTATGATGTACGCGCTTCCTGAAACAGAAATGCATTTTCCTCGTTACTCCCTCTGCCACCTTGTGTGCACTCCACAGCCGGCTGAGTGGTGCGCTATTCTGGGGGGATAAAAAGACGCGGAGTGGATGTGTCTTCGTGTGTCTCTTACGCGACGCGGTTGTGCACCGTACGTAGAACGTGTGCACGCGCTCGTACATGACCATGGGAGACTTGAATGTGATAAGGAAAATGTATTACCTTATGGAAATTTCGTTACCTATTTGATATCGAAATAGAAAGAAAGGAAAATTGTCGGGTGAGTTTAAAGGGATGGAAATGCTCGTAGGGAACTCTAGTTGAATCGTAGAGTGTGAAATTCGTGTTTGTAAGTGGTGATTAGGTTTGTTTTATCGAGTCGTAGTGTCGGGATCGCTTTCTTAGCTTTGCACAAGGTTTTCGTATTGTTGCGATACAGTAGAGTAGATCGACGAAAAATGAAACATAGAGTAAATTCAATGTTTTTTTTTGTTTTTGAATTGATTTAGTATTTGTAAGTGATGATTAGGTTTGTTTTATTCAGTCGTAGTGTTGGAATCTCTTCCTTAGCTTTTAACCAGCTTTGTATAATGCTTTTGTTACTACGACGCAGTAGAGTAGATCAACGAAAAATGAAACATAGAGTAAATTCAATGCTTTCAAACTCAGGCCTCGGAAATAAATTAATTGCACACTTGTAAGTGACGATTAGGTTCATTTTACCAAGTGAAATTCTTTGTCGTAACTACCTTTGTATAATTACTTGCATATTATTACGCCACAGTAGAGTAGATCGACGAATAATGAAACGCAGAATAAATTCAATCCTCTTTCTTTAAAAATTGCTCTCACATTTGTAAGCGACAATTAGGTTCATTTTACCAAGTTAAATTCCTTGTTATACCTAGCTTTGCATAATACTTTCATATTATTACGCCACAGTAGAATAGATCAACGGAAAGTGAAACATAGAGTAAATTCAATGCTTTCAAACTCAGGCCTCGGAAATAAATTAATTGCACACTTGTAAGTGACGATTAGGTTCATTTTACCAAGTGAAATTCTTTGTCGTAACTACCTTTGTATAATTACTTGCATATTATTACGCCACAGTAGAGTAGATCGACGAATAATGAAACGCAGAATAAATTCAATCCTCTTTCTTTAAAAATTGCTCTCACATTTGTAAGCGACAATTAGGTTCATTTTACCAAGTTAAATTCCTTGTTATACCTAGCTTTGCATAATACTTTCATATTATTACGCCACAGTAGAATAGATCAACGGAAAGTGAAACATAGAGTAAATTCAATGCTTTCAAACTCAGGCCTCGGAAATAAATTAATTGCACACTTGTAAGTGACGATTAGGTTCATTTTACCAAGTGAAATTCTTTGTCGTAACTACCTTTGTATAATTACTTGCATATTATTACGCCACAGTAGAGTAGATCGACGAATAATGAAACGCAGAATAAATTCAATCCTCTTTCTTTAAAAATTGCTCTCACATTTGTAAGCGACAATTAGGTTCATTTTATCAAGTAAAATCCCTCGTCACACCCAGCCTCGCATAATACCTTCACCTAATTACGTCAAAGTAGATCGACGCAAAACGACCCACAAAAATAAATTCACCTCTTTAAAATTCTCAAGTTAGGCCCGAGGAATTTAGCATTATAAATTCCGAGCGGAGTTACTTTATAGGCAGAATAAAATCATTGGAAGCGAGGCAGCAAAGCCGAGGAATTATAATTTTCCGGTTAGACGAGTCGCGTTCCGTAGATTGCGGTTTGTTATCGGCTTACGCGTAAATCTGGTCGTGTTAATCATGCGCCGTAGGTTGCGTGACCGGTCGGCGTTCCTAATTTTCCAAAGCTTATTATCGCGGTAATTAGGTGTCAAAATGGAATCTCTCGATTCGATCTTTCGTCGTTTAAAATTTCACGCAACGCGCCTCGTTCGCCGAGCGAGAGCTGTGTACGTACATATAATACACACACGAGGGAAAGAATTTCAGGAATTTCAACGCGATAGAATCGTTCGCGTTGTTTCGCAGGCGACGAAGAGAACACGTTCGGGTATGTTATATTCGAAGAAATTTTCCTCTCTTTCGAATGTGTTCCGTCGTCACTGAGGAAAGTTTCGCGCGTCGCCGCTTAGAATTTAGATTAACATTTAAGGTAGCACATTTTCGAAATACCTGCCGCGCGGCGTACGGGGAGAAACTTGTCAAGAGAAAACTCCCTCTAAGCGTGGTGAGTTTCGGGGTGGAACTTTTCGCCCCAAAGTCCCACGGGTGTTCCTCTCGCGATATCTCTGATCTAAGCTCGCTCAACCTACCGGCAGGATCTCGTTGGTTTTCCGATAAATACACCCTTGCTCGATGCATCCGCGGGAACGTTCTCTCTATCACGGATACTCCTGCTAAACTCTGCCGCGTCGGGCATGCTGATCCTAAATAAAATTCCACTCTGCAAATTCTCAGGAAAAATTAGAAAATGTAATAGCTTCGATCGTGACTGATTTTTAGGGAATTAGCAGAATGGATTATTTAGAGTACGATTTTTTTCGTTAACCCTTTGCCTTGTGACAAAAATAGTTGGATTATTATAGAAACAAAAATGAATTTTAATTCTAACTTTCTTTTTAATTTATAAGACTGGGGACACTAAGTGTAATTAATTTATAATATATTAGTCAAGGGCTTGAATCTCTGAAGAAAGAAATTAGCGAAGGGGTTAAATCTCTGCGACCAAACATTCTTCTCTGACACCTCTAACTCGCTAGGTCTATTAAAAAAAAATTCCGGATCCCTATGTAGCAGAATAGAATTTCCAAATATTTCAATAACGCTTCATCTACCGATCTGTTATCTACTCTCATTTCTCACAGTCATATCTGGCTTCTTTTATATTCAACACAGCAATAAATGTACCATGAAAAAATGTAGATTGCTTCGATAAATAAATAACGAGTGAAATGGTTGTTCTTACTTGAACCAAAAAAAAAAAAAACAAACATTGGACTTTCCAGATCGCAGAGATAGCGCGGCTTGATTTAAAGGGAATGGTTGAAAAGGGAAAAAAGAGGGTGATTCCATTTCGTTGTCACAGCCCTGACACTCGCCGCGTTCCCTCCCGAATCCGCGGCAGTCCCGTCGAAGGGTCACGAAATCAAAGTTACCCGGAGAGAAGCCCCTGCCTTCTGCACCGTGAATTACCTGTCAGCCTGACAACGAGTCCCTCGCATTTCTGTTTATATGCGGCATCAGGCTCGCGCTACGTTTCTCGTCGAGGGGTGGAACCTGCAAACTCGCTCGATTTCCCTCCGTCGAGGCTCACCTTTTTTCATTTACAGTTCCTCTCGGAGTTCCGCCGTTTAACGATCTAAACTGTCCATCGTTACCCTAACGAATAAAGAAAAAGAAATGGAAAAAATGTGCGAACCTTCGGAAGAAATTAAACTGGCTCGAAGGAGACTCTCGCAGGGTAATTTATCGCGTCTCGACTATTTATCTCGTACTCGTTCGAACGGAGCAAATAGAGTTATAAATAATCGCGAGCATTCCTCGAATGGAATCGCGTGTAGAATAGCGGGGGGAGAGAGAGATAGATATACCGGGGAAAAATAACGTGGAATCGGTAGATTCGTCGAACGGTCGTCGTCCTGGAGCCTCCGCCGCACCTTGGTTCGCGGTCGAAATTACAAATCGAGCGGCGCGTATCGGTTATCGGGCCGATGAAAAATTTCAAATTGGATGCCGGCCGGAATGACAGCGTGGCACCCTTTCGCAACAAAAGAGCCTCTCTCTCTCCTCCCTCCGGTAAGATTTTTATTTACATCCTCCCCTCGGTTTGATTTATCGTCGATCTGCATCACGTTCGGCCGCGCAACTGTATTCTCGCTGGCGACGCGAATCTAGCCTGGAAGTTTCGCGTCTGGAAATATATTGGTCGTTCCATCGTGTGTGCAAAAAGGGGGACACACGGTCTGGTAGAACAGAGACAGGCCGACACACACGTACGCACACGTGGAAAAGGGACGGAGAAGAGGGAACAAAGAAACGTGGGACAAATAGACGAAGCGAAAAGCACAAAGAGACGAAATGAGAAAAGCATCGAGTTCGGGCGGCCGGAGAGGGAGTAAAACGAAAAATAGCAGGCGGAGAAGGGAGAAATGGATAGAAAGGGTGGAAGAGCATAAAGAGACAAGCAAATAGGAAGGGAGGAGGAGAAGAAAATAGGAAAGAGAGAGAGAGGAAGAGTTGGCGTTCTTATCGTGGATACGGACCGACGTAACGGATTACTCGCTATCGCGACCAATATGTCAGCCGGTAAGAAGGACGAGGAGTCAAGCATTATATCGCGAAATAAAATGGCCCGCGGCGTGTGTCCGTGGTTCGGGTGGAGGGTGTTTTTGAAATATCGTCGACCGACCGGGGCTAGAACGCAGATACGTCGGCATTATTGGCACTTTGCTGCCGTTCGAATTATGTATTTTTCATAGCCGTGCAGGTCGGACAGGTTCGTTCGCGAATGCAAAGTAACAGACTCGTCGACGACGAGGACGACGACATAGACGACGTAAACTCAATGTTGAGATAGAGAGGTGAGAGACTGTCGCACGGAAGGTTCTCGCTAAATCGGCAAACGCCACGGTGAATTTTAATGCAACCAGATATCGACAGAGATACACGGAGGAACTGGGTGTGTGCTTTCCGATCTCGTCATCCAGATTTTCGTGCGCGTTTATTGCCGCGATTATTACCGCTCCTTTGATTCGTTCGATCCCCCTTCAAACTGTTAACGAGGTATTAATTGGTACCTCCTCTTTCATTCCCTCTACATGTTGTTCTGGTTGTCGTGAAATATTGGTTTATTTGTCGCTTCGATAGAGAGGGATAATATTTTCCGCCTCAGTTCGATAATATTCAATTCGGTCCTGTATTTTCCGTACTAGCGGTACTTCAAACTTCCAACCATTTTAAGTCTTCTTATTCAA